GGCAATTTTAGATTCTCAAAATCGTAATTTTACTGGGCTACGAGAGATTAGACGATTAATGTAGCTTATTGTATTCTTTTATTGAATTTAATACAGAAGTTTTTTTTTTCATCGCAAAAAAATTGCTGGGCCAGTTATTATGACAGAAGGGTATTGGTATCGAAGGTAGTGCATTCTGCAAAAGCTATTTATCCTTTAAAACCTGCTCTCGACATTTTTCCGCAATTCTTTGGGGCCCGTATGTTGTGAAATTCCACGAGTTTTCCGTGCCACCTTGACTATGAAAACAGTGCAGCAAGAATCAACGCTCAGGATTTTCCCTCGACTGACAATAATTCCCCGATTCCTTTGCTTAATATTTACGCACTGGGTTGGGTGTTTAACCCTTATTTCGCGTTAAAAAAAATGCCAAAAATTTGTTTCGTTGTGGAGCACAATTCGGCGCAATTGGGAAACAATTTGCGACACCTGTCGCTGAACATGTGATATGTAATAACGTTTTGCAAGTGGGTGCGGATATCTGGAAGGGATTGGACGAGAGCGGCAGTTTATTGACTTCCCTTGTTGACATTTTTTCTAGCCGTGCGATTTCGTGGGCATCGATTCGGGTATTAGTCTCCCTTCGCCTCTTTGTTGGGTACGGTTGTGGTTTCTCGATTGAGTCCTTCGAAATGGTAGAATATGTCTGAAATGGGTGACGATCCTGATGTACTCCCCTGGTGGAAAAGGTGATTAATTATTGAATATGAAAAAACGCTTCAACTAGTCATATTTCTCCGTTTAATTCAGGATATTTGTGTAATACAGTCCCTGGTGTAGAATGAGTTTATTGAAGCATACGTTTCGGGACATTTATCCTCAGTGTGAATTTTGTTACGTTCAACTCAACTTCACTGTGAAAATGATGCATTAAGAATGAACCGACGCTCAGGTTTTTCCCTCACCTAATTGTAATTGTCCGATGATCTTGTCGATTAATATTCAAGCATTTGGTTCATTGAGTTCTGTGTTTAAAAAATTATTCTCAATTCATTGGGCTCAACTACATTGCAATTATGTCTCAGATCAGTTGTAGCCACTAGCGAACGTTGCTAGATTATATTATATTAATTTATATTAAAGTCGCAAGTTAGAAGCCCGCATTTCATTATTTATTATCTCCTAAACTGCAGAACAGTCAATTACAATTTTTTTCAACAGCTGGGGACTTTTATAAATATTATCTATGAAAAACATCGGGACAAACTTACGAAAAACGTGTTTTTCTACGAATATACTTTAAGAAGTAAAGACAGCAAATGTCGTTCTATCCTCGCTGTTTACCTCTTTGTTTATTTAAAAAACAGCAAGCGCATGCGACTGGATGATGGCTGCAACAACAATCTGAACAGTTCCCTGAATAATGGAGCTAAGAGTGGGGGGAAATGGAAGTGTCCTGGGGACACGAGCATCGTGGAGCCCGAGGTAATGGTGGACCTGGGGGTTAGCATGCTCGACGACGAGACCAGCTGTGACAGTATGAAGAGGTCACAGTCACAGGATTGTTCAGTATCACCCAGTAGTTTGGTGTCCGCGAGGCACGCAGCTATGAATGAGAATATCCTCATGAATGAGAAGGAGAATCTCTATCGTGGGTCCAAGTTCGAAAAGGGAAATCTCGACAGGTACGAGTGTCATTGAAGGCATTCCCTTATTTATTATGAGCATTCTCTTGAAATTATGACTCAGGGGTTCAAGAGAAGGACTCGACGTGAATTTGATAATAACTGAGAAAGTTCACATTCCTGTTGTAAATCAAAGGAGAACAAATTCTCTTAAATCAAGAAGTTTTTATCTCTTGGTTTATGAATGTTTTTTTTTTCAATTCAAGATTGAAAAAATGTTCCTCACTGCAAAAACTGGTTTCTGAATTCTATACATTTTTCAGATATTAAAAACGGGTCTGAATTTAGTTGAGTCATCTTCGATATGTCAAAACTTTTTTTTTTATTTTCTTTATACATTTTATTTTCGTCATTGATTTTGCCTGAAGAAGGGGTAATAGGGAACTTGCATGAATTTTGTTTATATTTATTTCGGAAGGTCATCATCTCAATATTATATTTTTAGAATCTAAACTTTCAAAAAGTTGCACGATAATTACTAGCTAATTATTGAAAATTGCATACTTTTAAAACGCTCATGACGTCACGTCACTGCCCAAGTAGCAAACCTTGCGAAAGATATCTGAAAGTATACCAAAAAGGCTGACTAATGTCCGTCCAAAAGGTATCTTGCCGTCATACGATAACTTTTAGTTAACTGCTAGGTAACTTCTAGACACAAGTTACCTTTTTGGACAGACATTAGACAGCCTTTTTGGTATACTTGCAGATACCCTCCAGAACTGTGCTGCTTGGGTGGTTAACCGCTAGCCGACCAATCACACGACGCATATACAGAGACGTCATTGACCGGTGAGATGACGTCATGAGGTGTTTTCCGAGCATTCAAAAGACCTAATTTTCAAATCATTATTATAAATTATGCAAGTGAAATTTCGTGAAATTTTCAGTAATTCAGCTGTCTATTGGGTACGAACAATCTATCAAATGAGTGATGAGCAGATATTGAACTTCGTGCAAGTTCCCTTTTGCACGAATGCGATTTAGATTTCTTAATACTGGCAGGTCTGAAATACTCGGAAAAAACTGACCTCCAGATGCAAAAAACATCTGGAAATGAATGAGTCGAACTTTCCAGTCCCAGAAAATGTCTGTATTAATGTGTGTTTTGAGTTAATTCGTATTGAATTTAATAAACCAATACATTTTGATGAATCAATATTTGCGTTCAAGTTTTTTGAAAAGGAAGAAAAGAATTTAATTTTTAAAGAATGTGGCAGTGTTTTTTGGCCGAATAAATTGATAAAAATCATTGGAAATCAATTCCATTCGGAAATCATTGTGTCACTCAAAATCGCAGTCACAGACCCCTTGAAGATTCCCATTAAAATTCCGAAGACAAAACGACATCTTAAATTCAGCCATCTTTCACCTAGTTTTTGCAGTGTTCTTTAACACATTATTTATAAGCATTACTAACACTATTCTCTTTCATCCTCCCAAAATGAAGACTGGAGCAAGACCCCCACGCTCTAATGGACGATCCAACGAGCATCTTGAATTCCCTAGAAAACGAATCGGGTTACGCAACGAGAGTCGAAGCTGAATCTTCCGATGAAAAGCTCGTCGGAAATTTCAGCACAAGTACCTCGAACTCCGATGTCAGTGGGCTTGACCAGTTTTACCTATTCAGAAGGAGAAAGAGGGGCTCGTTCGTAGGGGAGGATAAATTCTCAAAGCTCTCTGACGAGATGATACTGATGATCCTCAAGTGGCTCCCCAAAAAGTGTCTAGTACGTTCGATGCTCGTGTGCAAACGTTGGTGTCAAATTGCCAGGGATGAGGCCCTCTGGTCTCGACTCGATCTCGGTGGTAAAGTGTTGAGTCAAGGAACACTGGGACACATTTTACCACGTGGTGTGCAAATACTGAGACTGGCACAGGCTGAACTCGCTGATCCAGTATTTTCCCCGGGTTCTGAAGTTCTCGGTGACGGCTATATGAGTAAACTACAGTATTTAGATCTTTCAATGTCCGTTATATCTGCAGATGGATTGGCTGAGCTTCTTTGCAAGTGCAGGCTGCTGAAAAAATTGTCTTTGGAGAAGTGTACGTTGAATGGCGAGAGCTGCAGGGCTATCAGCCAGAATAGGGACATCACGGTACTTAATTTAACTATGTGCGAGGGCATTGATGCGCAGTGTGTCAGACATCTCATCAAGTTGAGCAAGTAAGTGGGGTAGAGTTGAGATTCTATTGTGGGAGGACAGTTTTGTGAGAGTATATTTTGTACTGAAAATATGAAAGTTCTTAACTAAAGTTAAAGTTAAAATTAATATTATAGTTATTGAGCTAAAAATTTGCTATTTGGGGTTCAATGCTTTATTTTCAATTCAAGAATATTTAGTCTTGAATTGAAAATCAACAATTTTTGTTCCCAATACAGCAAATTTTTAACTCAAGGGTAAACTTGTCGAGATGAAATTTTTTTTAAAATTCTGTATAGGGTATTCTCAAATTTAAAATAAAATAGCTTTTATTTAAGGATAAAATCAGACTTCGACAGAATCATAAATTTACATATTAAAAGGCAAAGTAAAAGTAAAGTTAAATTTTGAAAAAGTCAATTGTTAATAGTACTCGTCAATTTTTTAATTATTAAATTCATCATCAATTAAATATTCAAATTTCGAATTATTTTATCAATCAAGAATTGATTTCAGAGGTTTGACGATTATTTAATTAATCGAAATATTTGCTCAATAGCCAATTTACAATTCCATATTGTCAGTTATTTAATTCATAACCAATGGAATTTAAATTATCAATTATTTTACAATTTTCGAATTTCAATGAAAATATTACGAAAACTAATGATTGATTATACATAGATAAAATATTCTCGAACCCAGAGTAAAATATACTTAAATGAAGAATAATTATTGCAAATTCAAGAATGAAGATTCGTGATTCGCGAATAACAAGTGGAATGAAGCTGGGAAATAATTATGGGATGAGAATACTGATTTGCGAGAATAAATTACTCTTTTAAATTTAGTATATGAAAAATTGTTAATTCGAGACTGAATATTCTTCATTTAAAAATAAAAAATTCTTCATTGCATAGTGGCAAATTTCTAGTTTAAAGATAAAATGTTGTCGAGACAATTTCGAGATAAAATTGATACGGGATAATCCTTTTTATCGTAAAAGAGCGATGACTCAAGCTGTAGCTGTAACACGACAGTTTTATATCCAATTTAAGTTCAGAGTATTATCGATTTTGTCCTGCCTATTGACGATCATAATAAGTGGGGCTCAATGTCTTCAATGCAAATGATTATATCGCATGTCTCACACGTTGAAGCCACCGCATTTCTCTATAATTTTCGAAAAATTGTAAAGTAATTCTTTTTTTCTGTAATTCCTTGTTAATAAAATTAATTGCAAAAATGGAAGGACATTTTAAGGGAAAAATGTAAAAGAAACCAAGCAAAAAACGTCCAGTTCGCATCTTCGATCATGTGTATTCGTTTTAGGGAGAATGTCCAAGTTAAGATTAAATTTTTTGCTTCAAGCATGCGCTACCTCGTTAAACCAAGAAAAAAACCCATTCTCGCCTCAAGAATATTTCCTCCCCCACTCAATCAACCTAATAAACCCCTTATTTTTCAGCTTGACCGCCTTGAACATGTCCTGGTGCTCCCTAGACTCGGACTCCATAACCCTCCTCTGTCGTTCCCTCCCCCGCAGCATAACCAGACTGAACATCTCAGGCTGCAGGAAAACGATGACAGATAAAAACGTCCGAGACCTCGTGGCGACCTGCCCAGACCTCGTGGAGCTGGACCTCAGTGACTGCACCCTCTTAACGATACGTGCAATCAACAGCTTCCTGACCCTTCACCAGCTGGAGCACCTGTCCCTGAGTCGTTGCTACGGAATTCCCTTGTCATCCTCATACGCAAGACTCACTCACATGCCTTCTCTACTGTACCTAGACATCTTCGGGCTTATGACAGACGCAGCACTCAAATCATTTCAGGCCAATTGCAATAGCACCGAGATCAATAAATTCTTGTACAGCTCTGTTGCAAGACCCACTGTTGGAGTGCGAAGAACAAGTATATGGGGACTTCGTGTTAGGGACTAAATTCTTTTTTTTTATCGAAAATCATTCTCAGAGGCGTCTTCTGGCATAATTTAATATTCACACAGCAGTTCCTTGACAAAATGATTCATTACACACAATTGAGTCTCTTCATTTGTTGACTAATTCAGTAGGAAAGAGGTAAAACGGTTTAAGTCGATTTTGATTTTTCATTGGATAGTTTTCATTTAATATCTTGGAATTTAGGGGCGATAGCACAATTTTTGCCATGACCTTTCTTGTAGCCCTCAATGTGCTCTACAAAAAAGGTCATTATGAAAATTTCGTTATCTCCCTTAAATTCGAAGATATTCCTCGAAAACTTGAGAACTTGATAACGGTATTTCCCTTGAAAGATCTAAATAATGAGAATAATGGGAAATTCACATAGAATGTTTGTAATTACAGTTGAATTATCTGCGAATTGTTCTAGATTTTGTTCTCAAGTTATTAACAATCAACGTTTATTAATGGAGAAATCTCGACAAAAGCCCAAGAAGAAAAGATAAGAAGCGACTTTCATTGTTGATATTTTGGAAACAAAATCTTAATTTCGAATCAATGTCATGTTTCTTTTTCATAGCTGAAACCTCCAGATCTTGTCTACAGAAATTGAAATCCTCTCAGTCCAATTAGACAAGATAAATATTGAATTCTACTAAATTGAAATGTATCAATCAAATTATACATTGTGCAATCTAAATTCTCAATTGTACAATTCAAAAGGTATAATTTGAGCACTTGAACTATTCATGTCGAATTTCACACAATAAATTAAACATTTACAGCTTTGAATTGTTCAATGTGAAATTCAGATTGCACAATGTTTAATTGGATTGTTAAATCGTCTAACTCCAACGTAAGAAAACAATTTCTGTGGATAATGTCTCAATCCAAAACATCACGTGTCAAACAATGAAGTGACTCCACGTCGTTTTGTCCAGAAAATGCCGTCTGCGTTAAACTACGCCTTCCTTCTTTAGACTGAAAATTGATGATAAACTAATGGAGATTTAGCGTATTGCAGGAACTTTTTTCGTTGTTGAATATGAAAATTGGGTGAAAAATGCGCTCCATGTATTTTTTAATCTGATAACTACATCAAAGACAGGTTGTGAACAATTTTTTATCACTCTTTACAATGGAAAAAACCGTATCCCGTATTCTCCATTCAATTCTCGTATTCAATAATTTTATCAATAAAATTTTCATGCAACAACCCAATTGTAAGTAAATTATTGCTGAGAGTGATGATAACAATTTAGATATTACTGTCGTCAGATAAATGCCAGCAATGTGTTCCACTTTTGATAGACAACTAGGTTTTGAATTTATCGACTAGATGTATTATCGCACTCCATTCTGAAAAACTCATCATTGAACGATCACTAAATGGTTATTAAAGGGGCTGTGGTTCATTTTCTTTTTTCCTCGTCGATCTCTATCGCCAAACATTACCGTACATACAGTTAACATTGAGGGGAAAAAGTGTAAAAATATTTTTATTAAGATTATCATGGGGATGAGTTGGGTAAAATGGACCCTTTTAATTTACTCCAAATGTCGATAATCCACTCAATTCTCCTCTGTAACAGAAAAATGTCAAAGGTGTTGATTTACTCCACTCTCCCCTACACTTGGTGGTAATTGTTGCAGTTAAGATTTTGATGAACGATGGAGGTTTATGATTAATGTAATAATTGTAAGTCGTGCCTTAACGTTTGAACAATTAAAATTTTTCCATTAATTGCGGAGTGCCTTTGTTGATTGATTGATTTAAAAACATGCGTTGAGAATTCGTTACCACATCACCACGAAGATGTCGGTTGTGATTGTTAATCAGGAAAATTCGAGTTGATTACTCTTGTAATTATGTATTATTAATGATGATTGAGGGTCAATGTCGCAGGATTGTCAACGGGAGAGCGGTAAAGAATGAGATAACTGAAGTATATATTGCTCAAGTGAGGATTTGTAATTTTGAGGAAATGATATAGAGAAATAAAATATCTTTTAAAAATGAACAAAATGTATTTTGAGACTATTTACATTTCGCGGCTGATTAATAACGAAAAGGGAAGATGTGATGTGTAAGAAAAACAGTCCAAACTCGAACGTAAAACATATCCTTCATTAATTACATCTTTTTTACATAAAAAAGTAAATTCACACTACAAAACGTCATGCCCCGATGATCAATTTCAATCATAATTAACAACTAATTCCATAATATATTTTCTGGACTGTCATAAATTATTTCTCAGCTGTACTGTTCATCTACCGGACAATTACTCCGACAGCAAAGTTTACCTTTGTCATGTAAAATCTTGCAGTAACAGTAATAATCGTCAACAGATTGCCATCGAGGTAAATATCCATTGGAAAATAATCAAGTGAACAATTCGTTAATATTTTTGCATACCTAATACATAAAACTATATATAAAATTGAATGGAATTAACGAGTAGGAGCTTCTGCTTCGTGACCATTTACAATTGAAAATCAGTAAATGGAATTTTTCTTAAATTCGCAATTGTTATATACAATAACGTAGACATAGGGTGATTTTCCATCGTTTTGGACTGGTATTTGTTGCATTGGATCAAAGCTAGTAAATGCTGGGTGCCCAGTGTTAGGCGGTGGCTAGTCTTTCGGATTTTGGGGCAGGTTCGATTGAAAGGAGCTCTGGTTTTTCAGTTTTTGAGTCTGTCGTATTGCTTGATTCGGCGTAGATGGATTTTGACTCTTGCCTCTCCTGTTCACTCTGCCATTGGACCTGAAATTAAATTGTTGGGAATTAATTACAATTCAATTATACCAATCACGTCAATTGGATGTGAGAATAAGTGACAAAATTAAAACAATGCTTTTACATTTTTATGTTGAACTGCTTTTTAACAAGATAAATTGACATTTAATTAACAACTTCAAATAAGGGCAAAAGAATTTTGGTTGTCACCAGAGATGGCCATCAATATCCCACTTCTTCAAAATTCAAAAGATTTCGAACTTACAGTGATGAAGGTTTAAATACTCATCAAAATTTAAAAATACTATATTAATAATTTAAATTTCCGATTGATGAATTAAATATTTGACAACATGGAGCTGTAAATTTGTCCATTGAGTAAATAATTCTAATTTCGTGAAAGGGATTTTCGATTAACCAAATAATCGACAGTCTTCCTACCAAAATTACTGATTAGTAAACTAACTCAGAATTTGAATATTCAAATTGAAGATTACGTGAATATTAAACAATTTACGAGTAATGTCAACTAACTGACGACTGCAAAATTTAACAGTAATTATGATTTATGAATATGGCTATCCCTGGTTGTTAGGCCCTCCTCAATCAAACCATACCTTTTGCTTGTGTTGTTTAACAGCCTCCAGACACTTATCAATAACCATCTGCTGCGTCAGCACCCCGTCCTCCGAGGCATAGGCAGCAGCCTGCCAGGCAACCCCAAGTTTCGAGAGTTCCCTCCCAGACATGCCCTCAGTGATCTCCGCCATTTTGACGCAAAGTGCTCCATAATCAAACTGAGCAACCTTGAGCCTCCTCTTGCCCTCCGTAGCTGGCTGAAGCACAAACTTATCGAAGTAGAGTCTAATAAGGCGTTCCCTCTCCTCGACCCCAGGCAACTGGAACTCGACCATCTCATCAAGTCGATCATTAACAGCCCAGTCAAACTGCTCAGGTGTATTAGACGCCAGCACCAGCATGAACTTGCTGCTCTGCTCGCCAGTCCTGTAGAGAAAAGCATTGAGCATGGCCCTGAGGTCCTCCGAGATGTGTTCACTGGACCTCTTCCTCAGGAAGGCATCAGCCTCGTCGATAAACAGAAGAAGTCCTTTTCTCGAGGTCGAGGCCCAGTCGAAGACTTTGTGAATAGCAGTGACCCCGTCCCTCCCAAGAGGTGCCAGATCTCCACCAGTCAATATCGCGTAATCCATGCCCGAGTGTTGTGCCAACTTCTTGGCAAACATGGTCTTACCAGTGCCAGGTGGGCCATGCATGAGAATATTCCTGTACATTCCCCTATTGTGTTTGGTATTCTTCGTGGCTATAGCAACATCTCTGAGTCTCTCCTCGAGTTTTGGAGCTAGAACGACACCTGACAGTGCGTCAGAGGGCTTCTCCCTCAGTTTTTGGACACTCTTGATGGGATGACGAATGACGTCTAGGGCTGAGAACCTCGAGGTTTCTCGAACTAACGAGGGCTTGCCCAGTCGAGCCTCGATGTAACGACTGGCAACACCAGTCGATCCCTTGGCGGTGTAAACCCCAAGTGCCACCAGAGACAGACCACCAGCAGCCGCCAATATCTTGTCCCAATCCTGAAGGAGTGATGTCACCCCAGCCCCCAAAACCGATCCAGCAGTCTTGATGGACTCCAAGACAGTGACTCTGTTCTCCGAGGCTTTCAGTCTGATCTGCTCGAGATTCAGGTCCTGATTCTCACGATCCACTTTGGCTTTTGCCTTCAATTCAGCTTCTAACTTTCTCATTTCGTTCTTGTGCCTCAGTTCCATCTCGTGCTCGATGGTGGCTTTCCTCATGGCTTCTTGTTTAGCTACGGATTCCTCTTGTCTCCGTAAATTCTCGTCGTTCATTCTTTGCTGCTGGCCTAGCTGGTCGTCGTATCTCTTTCTTGCTAGGGAGTCCTGGTACTGGGCCCGCATTTGGTGCTGTTTAGTCTCTTCGCTCACTGTTTTTCTTCGCTCCTCACCTTCCACGCGTTTCTGCTCTATTTTCAAATGCTCGATGTTCGCTTCGTACTCTTTGGCTCGGGACATTATCTCAGCTTGCTTTGTTGATTCCTGGAGCTTTGTCAGCTCGAGGGCCTCTCTGGCGTGGGCTGGAAGATTTTTGGAATGAAGATTGAGATTTGAATTGGGGAAATTTAGGTGGGTGGGAGAAATGTAACAATGTGAATCAAAGGGGGTGATGATCTGAGTTTACGTTTCTTAAAAATCATAATCATAGAAGGTTCATAATTCATAGGGGTTTAATTCAAACTTTTTTAACATTTAATTCTTCAATTGATATGCATCAAGAACTCATTAAAAATCTCTCCTCTAAAAAATGTTCTTCGATATTTTCTCCTCAGACCACGTGTTTCCAACGTGAATACATAATTATCAACATGATAGATGAACAAGACTAATTATCGAAACCTACTGATCAACTCCTTAAATTTCACTACTATAATCACGTATCAATTCCAGAAATAATGTCATTCATCATGCGACATTTTTAATTGGAGATATCACGATCTACAGAAGAGAATTCTTAAAAATCAATGCATAATCATCAGAAAATTGGGGTTCACTTTAAACTTTATTAATAATTAATTCTTCCATTGATCAAGAAATCTTTCTACAAAAAATGTTCTTCGACGTTTCTCCTCAGACCACTTGTTTCCAAGATGAATCCATAATTATCAAAATGATAAATAAATGAATGAATCAATAAATAATTATCAGCCTCACAAGTAGTCAATTTCATTTGACAAAGCAAAATGCAAGTATTTGCTCCTATAAATGGGACAGTCTGAGTAGTTCTACCACAAATTCTCACGCGACATTTTTAATTGGGGATATTACGATCTACAGAAGAGAATTCTTAAAAATCAATGCATAATCATCAGAAAATTGGGGTTCATTTTAAATTTTATTAATAATTAATTCTTCCATTGATCAAGAAATCTTTCTACAAAAAATGTTCTTCGACGTTTCTCCTCAGACCACTTGTTTCCAAGATGAATCCATAATTATCAAAATGATAAATAAATGAATGAATCAATAAATAATTATCAGCCTCACAAGTAGTCAATTTCATTTGACAAAGCAAAATGCAAGTATTTGCTCCTATAAATGGGACAGTCTGAGTAGTTCTACCACAAATTCTCACGCGACATTTTTAATTAGGCATATCATTTTTTTATAATTATTCTTCAATTAATATGCATTAAGAACCATTAAAAATCTCTCCTCTAAAAAATGTTCTTCGACATTTCTCCTCAGACCACTTGTTTCCAAACACGAATACATAATTATCCAAATGATAAATAACTGCATCAATGAATAGTTATCAGAATCCACAGATTCCCGCAGGTAATCAATTTCATTCGTCAAAGCAAAATACAATTGCTCCAAAAAATGGGACAGTTTGGGCGCCATAGTTGCATCATTATCATGTGCTCGTCTCGCATGTGCACAAGATTTCTAACCTCAAACGGATCGTAAGCTTACGTAATATTATATAAGTATTAAAATAATTGTTCGTCAACGAGAAAAAGTATTACGTGACTTCTCGAGCTCTTTGGCAGCAGCGGCCGCCCGCTCCAGAGCACTGGAGTCAAATCTGTAGGCGTCCATTTGCGGTTTCCCCACGTTTTTCGAGGGTCCATTATCCCCAGGATCCCCGGCACCGCCTCCCGAACCCGCTGCCGGTGGCTGTGCATACTGAGAAAAGTCCTGGGACTGTTGCTGATAACGTGAACCCAAGAGCCACGACATTTGTCCGATGGGTTTTTCACAGAAAACTTGAAATTACACGCGGATTCACTACCTCGTTACCGATACCCACGAGCTATTTCAATCAATGGTGAGTCACATGTACACGAGGGATTTTACAGTGTGAGTATCACGTGCGCACACGTTTCTTCAACTCATTGTCGTTACACCGGGGGAATAGCGTGGAATTGAACCCGCGTGGGCCCGGCGGGGCGCGAAGAGATACGAATTTTCACGATTGAGTATTTATGTATTTTTGAATTCGGGAGAGTTGAATGGGAATATAGTGACGATGATTATTCACTCGATTCATCGGCGAAAGGAATAGAGCTTTTCATTCTGAGAATTACTAGATTTGCGGACACTTTTTTCCCATGTTAATTCCCCTAGGATTTGCGGACACTTTATCGAATTTACATATAAATCATGGTTTTTGAGCGCTCAAGTGTATATCATTGTAAAGTTCAATATTTACGAGAATTTTCCATGGTTTTTTCGGAGATTTTTCCGTTGAATGAACGAAATAAATATTTTCCCTAGATTTGCAGAATGAAAGGGTCTATTGAATGAAGAAATTGAAAGAAGAATGAAGAAATAATTTCCTTTAAGATTCAAGATTCAACAAGATTTATTAACGTGGACAGATATTTACAAACAAGACAAGACAACAATATGGCACAAGTTTAAGGGTGGGTGGGGTAAAACGGGCACTTTAGACTTTTTTTAGACTATTCATACCTCAGAAACAAATTGATCAATTGAGATCAGTTTAGGCTCGTCACAAATGAAAAGAATTGTTCTTTGTACCGAAACAAAAATTATTAAATTTTATCAACATTTCAACCCCTCATTGAGATTTAAAAAAAAGTCAAAAGTGTCCGTTTTACCCCAACCTCCCCTATACCTAGAAGATTGATCGGTACAGCATCAGTCCGGAGGCTACAACATATATATAATATGAGGGTGAGAAATGGGTTAACAATATGAGGGATGGGGATAGGGAGGAGATGCTGGATAGGGAAAATTTTTTATATTAAAAAACCCTATTACAATTTCCTTTAAAATATCCTACTTTCCCAACAATTCAATTTCTCCATTCTTCCTTCAATTTCTTCATTCAATTGAATTTAGTTTTAGTACAGACCTCACTATAGATTCAACCATTTTCAATCATCAAGTTTGTCAATTGAATTGGGGGAGAATAGATTAGATAGATAGATTGCATAGATTATTATTTTTTAAACATTCATTGTTTATAAATAAATAATTGCACTGTAAAAGGCGTCAAGCCATACGGTTGGAAATAAACATCATTCATCAATAAATAATTGAGATTGTTTAAACTTTCGGAAAACTAATTTTTTTAGGCATGAATTAAATTTCTGGGAAAATTCTGAATATTAATGGGAGGGTATATTCATGACGTGTTGAATTGTTTATGAAATGGAATAATTTTATTTTTCAATTGAAAAACAGTGATTCCTCTTTATGATGAGCTGAGACTGAGCTCAATTGATAAATCTGTTTCTGAGTTATGAATATTTTTAAAAAAGTCAAAAGTGTCCATTTTACCGTACCCTCCCCTAAATTTGTTACGATTCCGAACAAATGATTTTTATGGTGGAAAATTGATTGTTTATAAATTATTCATAGAAAATTCGCGTAATTCTCAATGAAATTGTAATTTTTTAATAATTTCATCAATCTTCTTCCAAAAGTAAACTTTGTAATTTTTTTTCTGATTTTAAAAATTTTTGCTAACGTTTCAGTATTGAGATTCAAATTCAGACTTACAGAGTTTAAATAATAAAATCACTGTAAAATGTCCGGAAACTTGGGGTCAAATGGGACTCAAATGGAAGATCTGATGTTCGACTACAAAAGTAGAAGAGTATTTCACTGGAGAAAAAATAGCCAAAGTACTTGGGTATCCGTAAACCATCGAATATTTACGGATTGACTATTTATTTTTGAATTCGATGGAATTGAACGGGAATATACTGACGATGATTATTAATTCGATTTACTGAGAAATGGGATAATCAATGGAATTATTACGGGAGTAGAATATTTTAGAGGAAATTAATTCGAATAAATCATCGAATATATCGCTGACTATATATTTTTTACTGAGTATTTATTTTTGGACTCCGACAGAACTGAACAGAAATCTTCTGACGATTTATTATTAATTCTATTTATTGAGGAATGCAATTACAAATGGAATTGTCGGGGGAGTAGGATATTTTAGTAAAAATTAGTTCGATTAAATCATCGAATACGTCACAATCGCATGGAATATTTTGAACGAGAATTACCGATTTTATTTATTACGAAATAGAATTTGATAGCGGAACGGCAAAATAGTTTAAGTCGAATTTGACTATTAGTCAGATATGGATTACTCTATTAGATTCCTCCATCATGTTTCATCGGAGAGTATAAGCGCTTGCATCATTCCTGCAGTGTTTTTCCACTGGTGAATAGTTCTCGACGAGAATCGACAGTAGCATCATGAGGCACCTCTTGCTGGAGGACAGGACAAATCCTCAAAACCCGATTTTAGATGAAAGCTCAGCGGCGAGTCTCGTCAATACATCAGGTTTTAATTCAAATGGACCAACTGCACCAGTCCATATTGGGGAATCGATTAGAGCGAAGGAAAGAGAGAAACAATTTTATCACAGTTTTGAGTTGGTCTCTCAGGGGGGAGAAGAAGAGGCTTATAAAAGGTAATAGTGGAATTAAGGGAGTCAAATAAATCGAAATCGGGTGAATCGTCGGGTCATGGAACCTAGTCGCGCTTTTATTTTATTAAAAATTAATCGTCAAAGACAAGATCATTTGTGTAATTTCAATAATATCTTGCTAAACTTTTTCATGTTCCAGTTATTATCGGGCTTTGTTGGTTACGACGTTTCATATTATCCAATAATTAATAATTCACAATTATAACAAAATTTCGTAGAAAAACCTAGCGAATTCTATGGGAAATTCTATGGGATTTCTATTCTTTTTAAAGATTGAAAAGACGTATATGAAATGGATAAAATTGAGGAATGTGTTAATAACGATTGATAAAACCGAATTTGAGTTGGATTTCGATTGAACTTTCTATTAATTTTTGCTAGATTCTACCGAAAAATTCCGCAGTTTATCTACCAGTTTTTTTTTCAAAGGAAATGTTCAAGTTTATTAGAAATGTTCAGTGGAAAATATTCTCTAAGAAAAATTAACGGAATTCGATTTTTCCATAGAAATTTCGCAGTTAAATTTTTTACGTTTTTTAAATTTATTTTTCAATGAAAAGACAAGAAAAATCGATTGGAAAACCTTGGAAAATTTCAGTCAACGAATTTCTATGGAAAATCTCTCAATAGAAAAAATCGCATAGAAAGATGAAATCCTACTATTATTGTCTATAAAATAATTTCTATTCTCCATTTTTCTATAGAAAAAAAACGCAGTAAAGCTATGGAATTCTTCAATGAAATCCTCCGAAAACTAAAGAATTTTCAATTGAAGTTCAATAGAAATCTCGAAGTATTTTCTATAGAAATTGCAACGTTTTTCTATGATATTTTTTCGTGCGCAACAATTCAATTCTTCATTTCACATTTCCCTCGATAGTTTTTTCAGAGAAGCAAAGAGCGAATTCGTCCCATTATTTTTTGCACTCACCTGGCATGGAACATCTGCGGAGAGCTTTCTGCCTCTCCAACTTGTTCCCCAATTTCCAAAAAATACTCTTCTCCATCTGAGCGCTAAGGGTTTGAGACGCAGTGATGTAGAACAGATTCTCAAGAAAGTTTTGGATCTCGGGATTAGGAATTTATTTGTCGTTCGTGGAGGTACGTAGGAAGTGCTATCATCCCATATTTACATTTATTAATCTCAGGGATCGCTAATAATAATTTATGATAATATAAATAAAAATTATCCGTAAATTACTAAAGTTTGTTACACTTAATTAAAGATTGAAATTACTAAAATTAACTAATAAAATAATTAATAATCTGAATTTTCGATTGAATATCAAATAAATAATTTTAAATTTGATTAAATTGATTAATCAAAATTAATGATATCTTAAATGCGACATCTTCCTCTTCCTTTACCCCTCACTGATCAAAGAAGTCTCGTCAACTGAAAAATTCCCCTAAAATTCTCGTTGTGGGAAAATGGCGTCCCCAACGGTCGGCGTTCGTCAGGCAATTCTTCCCCCAAAAATCATGAATTACCAAAGTTATTTGACTCCTCAAAGAACTAAATAACAGTCTCAAATCTTCTCCACTTCAACCCTTTTGTCTTCGACGAATAGCTCAATTAAAAAAATATTAATTACTCCGACACTCTCAGCAGCGTGCAACGCCAGCCATTTAAAGGAACAGAATCTAATCAAAATTAATGATTAATTTAATAATATAAATTCCTTTGATATTATCAACTGATTATGCATGTAGTAAAATAACCTTATTTACATCATATTATTAAATTCTGTAATTAACACTCTGCTTAGACGACCCTCCAGACCACACAGACTTCACGTACGCTGTAGATCTGATTAAATTCATCAGAAGTCTGTACAACGATGAATTCTGTATTGCAGTTGCAGGATATCCAGACACCCACCCAGAGTCTCCTTCGAAAGAATCTGATCTTTATTACCTCAGAAAAAAGGCAAGGTTTATCAACAAAAAAAAATCCATTGAGAACGAAATTTTTATTTTTCAGCATAAATTTTCAATATTCACCACTCTGTCTTTCGTATCTCAGTGAAAAAATTAAAGAATAAAAAAAAATTTATTAGCGGACAATTTATCCTTGTTGTTGAGATATTCCGTTGAGAAATTTCTGTAGAAAAAAAAAATCGACAGAAAAAGTTCTATAGAAAAATGAGAATTTATTGATTCTGATGATTTTCGTTTTTTTCCTATTGAATTTTCCTTATGGGAATGTTCACTAGATTCCATAATATTCGTTAATAAATCATCTGAGAGTCATTTCGCTTGAACACAGCAACTAATGAGTGAAAATATTCAGGTCGACGCTGGTGCCAGCTTCATAATAACGCAAATTCTATTCGAATCGGGAAGATTCATACGATTCGTCGAAGCATGCAGATCGTGTGGAATAGACGTTCCAATCATTCCGGGAATTTTTCCAATATCGAACTACAGGACTTTTATGAAACTGGAGAGGATTTGCAATCTGACGGTTCCCAAAAAGATCCATGAAGACTTATCTAAAATTAAAGAGAAGGGTGGAGAAGTGAGAGATTATGGGATTAATCTGGCAACGAGAGTTGCGAAGGAAATCCTGTCCAGTGGAGTCGTTCACGGATATCATCTATTCACTCTCAACAAGTGAGTTTCAATGTATCTGTAGTGGTCATCCATTATTTTGCATAATTTTTTTTATAATAGACAGAATCGTCAAGTGTAAAAGTGGATTGAGAGAATATTAAAGACGTTCTTTGAAGTGGAAAATGAAGAGGTTCGAGTCAATGAATTTGAATAATTCATAAAATAAATTATTGATGTACAGATTTATCGTCTTTATTCACTGAAATTTTCAGGAGAAAGAGGAAATTCAATTATTCATCACTTTACATCCAGAAACAATAGGCAAAGTCATGAATTATGTGAATTAAAGTTTGAAATGCAGATTTATTCTCACAATTCTCTCCTATCTTTCGAAAAGAATGAAATTCAAATGTTTATTTATTTAGTTATTTATCTCAGGTCATAAATTAATATTTTCAATTTCAAGAATTCAAATATCTCTCACTTCTAAAGATGAAAATCTACTGAAGTGGAAATGAAGTATTATATTCTATTCTATTCTATTCTAATGAAGTGTAAATGGAATGTAGGGATTACAATTTCCTTAGATAATGTTTTAATGCATCAAATGTATCCAAAAATGAATCGTTTTGTCACGAAAATGCTGAGGCGGTGTTAGACTGTCACGAAAATCCAATCAATTGAAGAATGGAATAAATAATTCTAAAAAAAATAGAAATGCCGGTGCTCTTCATTCCATTTTCATTTGCAAAAATGTTAAAAAACAAGCAAAATCTCAACATTCGTCTCTCAAAATAAACCAAAAACCTCTTCATTTCATTTTCCAGTCTGCCAATAGCCCAGGAAATCTGCTCAAACCTAATCTCAAAGTCTCCTTTAACCCCCAACTCCCAGTAGAAATGAAGAACCGGTCGCTCGCTTCGCTCGCACAACTCGAACAAAACGGCTTGAACGATTGAGCTGAAATTTTTCCCAGATATGCTCCCAAGCAACGCCAATTATTCCCCAAAATTTCATATTTTTCATTCGAACTTTACTCTTTTTTTCATGAAGATTTATAAAAAAAATCCGAACAATCCACATATACATACGCACACATTTTCTAAGAATATTATATGTGAACGTCCGCATGAAAAAGGCCCACTTTGCCGATTCTAGTTTAGGAAATATTCACGTTTTTGTCTCCGCAACTCCCATTGAAATCGATGTTAAATTATTTTTTTGATCTTCTCTGGCGACGTCACTTTTCACGCTATCAGGATTATTTTGGGCTCAAAATCCGCAGAATGGTATCAATATTATCGAAGTATCCACCACTCCATATCAACAAAGTGGGCCCTTTTCATGCGGATGGGCACATATCTTCCCGCTTCATGACATTCAACACAATTTCCAAGTGAAATTGGAAGCTCCTCAAAACGGACGATTACAAAATTTCCATTCGAAAGCAAAATTGATGCAGAGACTTCACAGATAGTTTCTAAAAGTCACGAAACGGATGTGGTGAACAGGTCAATGGCTGGACGGTTAAGGAAAATTCGAGTTTCGTGGTAGGATCTAAAATGATAGAATCACCTAAATGGAGATATGATGGCTCCCATGCGTAGAGAAAAAAACTAGTTTTGCCAAAAACCCATTTACTTAAGAGAAGTATTCATCATTTTTTCAAAACCGTATTTCTCCAGTCGAGTCATTCCCAGACGCGCCTAATTAGGTTTCAATCGTGGCAATTATATTACTCTAGAAGAGGATCACGTCAGTTACGACTTTGAGCGAACTCTCTCAATAATTACAAACATTAAAAACTTAAGGCTCGGGTGGATTATCTTTCGAACGTGATCTTGTTTTTTTTTTATTTCGCTAATTCGAAATGATCTAGAATTGCTATTCAGTTTTGCATAGCCCTGGAGTGTACAAAAATTATCATTGTACAATCAAAAAAACGTTGAAAAAAGCTGAACATTTTCAAAGAGCGTTTTTGAAATTTAGAATTAGCCCGTTAACTAAAAAAATTACATTTCAGTGTTATCAAATATTTTATTCACCATCAATCGAAAAATGTAGCTAATAAATTCTATATTTTAAATTTGTTAAATATAGTTTCACTTTGAACAATCTAGGGAGGTAATCCCTTTTTAATATTGTCAAAATTTAATATTATTGCCGATCTCTGTTCGGCAAAAATAATGTTTTTCGCCACGGCGGGCGGAAAGGTCACATTTTCCGCCTACGCCGTGACGAAAAACAACGTTCTCACCACGGGAGGTAAAATAAAGGACCCTTACCCACGTGCTTACCACGTGGTAATTCTCCACGTGGGCACGACTAGAGATGCAAATGCGTCACATGACCCGTCATATAACGGTCATGTGACCGTCATTGACGGTCACATGACGAGGCGTTCATGACAGCTGTCACAATTCCCCCTCCCCCTTCTGTGACCATCACAACTTGTCAAGAAAAAATGACAGTCATTTTTCATCTATACAGATAAAACTTTATTTTTTTCTCGGTAAATTTTCAGTTGAATTCCTTTTGTATTGGCCTAATCCGCATTTTGAAATGGAAATCACGTTTTTTTTCCATCCATATAGATGAAACTATTTTGTTTTATTCATGACCGTCACAAATTGGAAATTAGTTATGACCGTCATTATGCAACTATATAGATGGTTTGACAACAATTTGGTTACAAATGATTTGTAACAATCATTTGTAGTTGGAAAATTTGCGCGTCACATGACCGTCATTTTTTGGTCATATGACGCGATCTAAAAAATGACGGTCATGTGACGCTGAACGATTTCAAAGAGCGTTTTTGAAATTTAGAATTAGCCCGTTAACTAAAAAAATTACATTTCAGTGTTATCAAATATTTTATTCACCATCAATCGAAAAATGTAGCTAATAAATTCTATATTTTAAATTTGTTAAATATAGTTTCACTTTGAACAATCTAGGGAGGTAATCCCTTTTTAATATTGTCAAAATTTAATATTATTGCCGATCTCTGTTCGGCAAAAATAATGTTTTTCGCCACGGCGGGCGGAAAGGTCACATTTTCCGCCTACGCCGTGACGAAAAACAACGTTCTCACCACGGGAGGTAAAATAAAGGACCCTTACCCACGTGCTTACCACGTGGTAATTCTCCACGTGGGCACGACTAGAGATGCAAATGCGTCACATGACCCGTCATATAACGGTCATGTGACCGTCATTGACGGTCACATGACGAGGCGTTCATGACAGCTGTCACAATTCCCCCTCCCCCTTCTGTGACCATCACAACTTGTCAAGAAAAAATGACAGTCATTTTTCATCTATACAGATAAAACTTTATTTTTTTCTCGGTAAATTTTCAGTTGAATTCCTTTTGTATTGGCCTAATCCGCATTTTGAAATGGAAATCACGTTTTTTTTCCATCCATATAGATGAAACTATTTTGTTTTATTCATGACCGTCACAAATTGGAAATTAGTTATGACCGTCATTATGCAACTATATAGATGGTTTGACAACAATTTGGTTACAAATGATTTGTAACAATCATTTGTAGTTGGAAAATTTGCGCGTCACATGACCGTCATTTTTTGGTCATATGACGCGATCTAAAAAATGACGGTCATGTGACGCTGAACGATTTCAAAGAGCGTTTTTGAAATTTAGAATTAGCCCGTTAACTAAAAAAATTACATTTCAGTGTTATCAAATATTTTATTCACCATCAATCGAAAAATGTAGCTAATAAATTCTATATTTTAAATTTGTTAAATATAGTTTCACAAATAGTTCTATCGGTAAATAGTTATAGTTTCAGATCGCGTCATATGACCAAAAAATGACGGTCATTTTGCATCTCTAGGCACGACTCCCTTATTTTCCCTCCGTTGATGGGAAATATACTATTTTCTCAGTATAACCAGTATCACCACCCGATACAAATCGACAAGTCACAAACCCCCCAATCCCTTCCCGCGCTTATTCAACCCCAACCACCCACGTGACCCCCTCTCCACGCACGCGCGGATGCCCCGCGCCCGACGCAGGCGCTCAACTCCCCCTTCAACCGAAACAGCGAACGGAGAACTGAACCGGATCAAGTCGGCGGCCTGGGCAAGTGCGATCGGCCGAGTTGGGCGCCAGAGCTTAGCGCGGTCGGTTCGGTCGGTACTCGAGGTCAAGAGTTGTTCGAGGGAAAAAACCAGCAAAGTACACCTGATTATTAAGGAATAAAGGACAATGGCACTGTTTAGATTGAGCGCTGCACGTTGCCTGGAGGTGCAAGTGAGTTTACCCTCATTTCAATTTTTCCCTCTGTCATCTCTCGTCACCTGCAATCACCTCTGTATTATTATTTAACCGCATTACCTTCTTGCACACACCACGAATCTATAAATTGCTCGACGAAATTTGAAACGTGTGATACAGCAGGCGTCTTCACCACGATGAGAACATTTTTCACTCGCTATAAATACCCCAAAATATTCGAGCACTCGGGCTGATAAGATTGACAAGGTGATATCGTGATTGTAGTTATTTTTGCCGTTGTAATGATTTTTATGTGAAAAAATGAGGTGTCTTTTTTCTCTAGTTTAGAACGCCATAGCAGAATGCCGTTTTATCGACGGAATTTGCACGTTAGCGTGCCCTTGTCTTACCTTACTTTCATTTATCCAAAATCACTGTAAAACCATTTACCCCCCCCCCCCCCCCCCCCCCCCCCNCCCCCCCCCCCCTAACCCTTCCCCCTTTAATGTTCTTAATTATTATTATTTTTTTAATAATGAAAATTGAACATTAGCAGTTTTAATTTTTTTTCTGCTCTACGAGGAAATAATTGGAAAGTTTATCCTCAAATAGCGGTTTTTTTTTCATCTCGTCATTTCGATTGTAACTTGTCTTATAATAGAAACGGATAAATCGGTTGCATAGAGGAGTTTAGCGGTGGATGGAATCGAAATATGCTATGTTCATGCGCTCTTCGTGACAGAGGAGCTGTCAATAATTACGTAAGCCACGAGGGTAGAGATTTCTTTTAATTTTTTTAATTTTCTTTGGGGGGATCAATTAGCAGGCTGGGGTTCTTGGGGATTGGGTGAGGGGATTTGGGAGGTTTAGGGTGAGGAGTTGCTCCTCGTGGTTTGGGGCAGGTTGGAAGTCAAGTTAGATGGTGGTTTAGGCGAGTAATCGATAGGTCAGACTGGATTCGTGATATGCAATGTGCAGTTTTTGTGTGGACAGGTTTGTGTGTAGGTAACAAATGCACATGAGTCGGCATTCACATGGGGAGAAGTGGGCTTCGGTGCTTCGTGACCTCGTCACACTCACCCCGCTATTACGTAATTCGTATGGACGAATTTTCAAGGTGATCACTGACCTTCTTTGCGGGAGATTTTTTAGAGTGCGAGGGGATATTGAGGTTTAGGGGCTGGTGAGGGGGTTTTTGGGAGGCGGACAGTTAATTTGATTTGGGAGAAAAAAGTTGGAGTATTTTCAAATGCGATAACATAAAATTCCTATTTTTAAGGAAACTATGGAATTTTAGGTCTCACTAGAAATTCAATGGAATTTCGAATTTTTAAGGGATCAGTGACCTTCTTTGCGGGAGATTTTTTAGAGTGCGAGGGGATATTGAGGTTTAGGGGCTGGTGAGGGGGTTTTTGGGAGGCGGACAGTTAATTTGATTTGGGAGAAAAAAGTTGGAGTATTTTCAAATGCGCTAAAATAAAATGCCTATTTTTAAGGAAACTATGGAATTTTAGGTCTCACTAGAAATTCAATGGAATTTCGAATTTTTAAGGAATCAGTGACCTTCTTTGCGGGAGANGATTTGAGTTGGGAGAAAAAAGTTGGAGTATTTTCAAATGCGATCAAATAAAATGCCTATTTTTAAGGAAACTATGGAATTTTAGGTCTCACTAGAAATTCAATGGAATTTCGAATTTTTAAGGAATCAGTGACCTTCTTTGCGGGAGATTTTTTAGAGTGCGAGGGGATATTGAGGTTTAGGGGCTGGTGAGGGGGTTTTTGGGAGGCGGACAGTTGATTTGAGTTGGGAGAAAAAAGTTGGAGTATTTTCAAATGCGATAACATAAAATGCCTATTTTAATGAAAACTGCAATTTTAGGTCTCACTAGAAATTCAATGAAATTTCGAATTTTTAAGGGGATCAGTGACCTTTGTGGGAAATTTTGAGGGGAACAAATTGGAGAATGTAAAAATTCAATAAATACGATCCTTAAATTCTAAGGAAAACCATGGGATTTCAGTTCTCACTAAAAGTTAAATGAAAATTTGGAATTTTTAAGGTGATCAGTGACCTTTGTGGGAGATTTTTTAGACTGTGAGGGGAAAATGGGAAAATGTAAAAATTCAATAAATACGATCCTTAAGTTCTAGGGAAAGCCACGGGATTTCAGGACTCACTAAAAATTCAATGAAATTTCGAATTTTTAAAGTGATTAGTGACCTTTTTTGCGGGAGATTTTTTAGAGTGTGAGGGAAAAATGAGATTTAGGGGCAGGTGAAGGGGAATTTTTGGGAAAGGGACTGTGAATTTTATTCGGGAGGAAAAAAATTGGAGTATTTTAAAACTCGATAAAATAAAATCACTAAGTTCTAATGGAAACAATGGAATTTCAGGTCTCACTAAAAATTTAATGAAATTTCGAATTTTTAAGGCGATCATTGACCTTTGTGGAAAATTTTTTAGACCGTGAGGGGAAAATTGAGATTTTAGGGGCAGTTGAATGGGAATTTTTGAGAGAGTGACAGCGAATTTTCTTTGGGAGGAAAAAATTGGAAAATGTAAAAATTTGATTAATACAATCCTTAAATTCTAATGAAAGCCATGGAATTTCAGGTCTCACTAAAAATTCATTAAAATTCCTTATTTTGAAGGTGATGACGTTCATAGGAGATTTTTCAGACTGTCAGAAAAAAGTTGAAATTTTAGGGACAGTCGAGTAGGAATTCTTCCGCTAGTGACAGTAAATTTGATTTAGAAAATAATATGAAGCATGTCAAAACTTGACAAATATAATCCTTAAATTGGAAGAAAAAATCATGGAGTTTCAAGTCCTCATAAATATTCAATGAAATCCTCAATCTAACAGTGGGATGATACGAATTCCGCAACTTACCTGAATTTTCAATCAAGTCACTAATATTCTGTCCCAAATTGGACTTAATCTTCAATAGAGTAATAATTCAAAAATGTATTTTCCTGAATTTTCTAATTTCTATTTACAATTCCTATTGATTTCAGCAAATTGTGAATTCTGAATACCAAAACATTTCCCCAATTTTTAGTTATTTTTATTGCTAGGAAATCGGCATTTCATTGGATTTTCAAGATGAAATATTCATCATTCAAGAATATCTTCCTGGAATTCTCCAATGAAAAAAAATTCTATTCTACCATCAATAATTCCAACATTCCTAACTCAGCGACACAAACATTCCTGAACAAACGATTCCCATCACTATTTATTACCTGTCGCACACAAATTCCTTTCTACTCTTCCTTATTTGATAGCTGAATGAACAAAGTGGAATATTGAATGGTCCAAGAACATTCCTTCCCCCAACGAAAGATGAAAATGCTTCAAGAGCAGACCTATACATTTTGGTCAAACACTTATAAATGAGCCAGGGTTTTGCAAGCGTTTACTAAAATTAGCAACAATTCGAGGTTGAAACATTGCCCTGCTTACCTGAACCAGATCAATCAGTGACAATGTAATCATCCCCAGCTGCCAATTTCGTGACCTCCACCGATGAATTATGTGTTATGACGGCATCAGCACGTCACTCCTCTCACGATCATATGATCAGAGCCCTCATGAAGGAATATTTCAGTAGTGAAGTGGTCAAACGGTTTAAGTCAATGCCATTCTAGCGCCAGTTCTCGATGAATATCTCAAATTCTAAAGGAGTTGGCAAAATTTTCCTAAAAAATTGCAGGCGGCTGTATCTTCGATACAGCTGTAATTGTACGTGGATACACGGACGAAAAAATTTTGTAGAAAAACCTATCGAATTCGTTAGAAAATTCTGTTGAATTTCTATTGAACTGTTCAGTAAAAAATATTTCAGTAGAAAAAGTCAATAGAATTCAATTTTTCTATATAACTTATTCTATTGAGATTTTTTTTATAGAATTTCCTCGGCTCAAATTTCCTAAGTTTTTTCGTTTGATTTTCTTGATGANTCCTTATTTGATAGCTGAATGAACAAAGTGGAATATTGAATGGTCCAAGAACATTCCTTCCCCCAACGAAAGATGAAAATGCTTCAAGAGCAGACCTATACATTTTGGTCAAACACTTATAAATGAGCCAGGGTTTTGCAAGCGTTTACTAAAATTAGCAACAATTCGAGGTTGAAACATTGCCCTGCTTACCTGAACCAGATCAATCAGTGACAATGTAATCATCCCCAGCTGCCAATTTCGTGACCTCCACCGATGAATTATGTGTTATGACGGCATCAGCACGTCACTCCTCTCACGATCATATGATCAGAGCCCTCATGAAGGAATATTTCAGTAGTGAAGTGGTCAAACGGTTTAAGTCAATGCCATTCTAGCGCCAGTTGTCGATGAATATCTCAAATTCTAAAGGAGTTGGCAAAATTTTCCTAAAAAATTGCAGGCGGCTGTATCTTCGATACAGCTGTAATTGTACGTGGATACACGGACGAAAAAATTTTGTAGAAAAACCTATCGAATTCGTTAGAAAATTCTGTTGAATTTCTATTGAACTGTTCAGTAAAAAATATTTCAGTAGAAAAAGTCAATAGAATTCAATTTTTCTATATAACTTATTCTATTGAGATTTTTTTTATAGAATTTCCTCGGCTCAAATTTCCTAAGTTTTTTCGTTTGATTTTCTTGATGAGAAGAAAAGTAAAATAGAATGAAAAAAACTTAGAAAATTTGAGTCGAGCAAATTCTATGGAAAATATATGAAAAGAATAAGTTATATAGAAAAATCGAATTCTGTTGACTTTTTCTATTGACTGTTTTCTGTTGAACATGTGAATAGAATCAGCTAAAAACTAATAGAAAGTTTAATAGAAATTCAATAGAATTTTCTAACGAATTCGATAGGTTTTCTATTAAATTTTTTCGTACGTGTACGTCCATGGTCTTTCCTTCTTGCTCGAATGTCCTAGAAACTCCTTGCATTCCCTCGAATTTTCTAGAAACTCCCTGAATTTCCTCGCAATTTCCAGTAACTCCTTGAATTTTTTCGAAATTTCAAGAAACTTCTCGAGTTACC